GGTACATAGATACCAAACATGTCAAGCATCAAAATTGCGTTCCCCGTGAAGCCGCAAAAAACTTCAATACCCAAAATGTCCCACAGTGGACACATTAAAAGCTTTTATAGCTCATCAGTTTAGTGCTAACAGTGATTAATGGCTCTATAATTATTGCTCTTATTCTGATGTTCGCAGCAATATGTAACGTGTAGCGCAATTTCCGGTTTTGCGAGTAGTCGCACCAACGCATGTTTGCGTATGTATGTACGTGCACGTGGGGGGCGGAGGACTTTAAAATATAATTTGTTTTGCATTTTTTTAATATATTACTTTATTATTATAAATATTTTAAACACTTTTTTTTTACACAAAATGTATTGCTAACAAGCCCCCTATGTAATAGCAGATAGGGTGTGACAGGTCCTCTTTATGGAGTCATCAGAGGTCATTCAGACCCCTAATGTCGTCTAGGGACCCCAAAGAAGCTGAGGAAGCAGAGATCTGCTTCCCCAGAGCCGGAGAATGTAAACAGTGACACCGGAAGTGATGTAATACAAATCACCTCCGGGTCCAATGATCGGAGAAGAGATTAGCAGCTAGAAGCCTGCACGGAGGACAGCCTGGGGAAGCCAGCAGAAGGGAGTGGGCGCAGCACATTTCACGGATCGGTATAAACGATGGATCGCTTGTACATTAACAACTAGATATGTGCGATTCAGATCGTTCCGAAATTCGATTTGGATGAATTTTCGGAGATTCGGATACATCCGAATTCCGAATTAAAGCTAAGACGAATGCAAACGAATCCGAAATTCCCGATTTCCCGAAATTCGTTATTAAACGAATTTCGTTGCAGGAAAACGACATTAGGAAAAAATAAATTACAACAGTTACCTTCTCCAACAGTTCTATGGTTAAAGTACAGAAGCAATAGCGTAGAGGATAGGGGACAGGTTTGCCATTGTTAGGGTTGCAGGTTCTAGTCCCGGGTAAGGTAGTGGATAAAGATTTTTTTTTCTTTGCTTTTGAATTGGCATTCTCCTATTGACCTAAATGACTAAATGTAATTTCTCATTTTGCTATTGGACAAATTCTGTTGCAGCAAAATTATTATTTTTTTTTTTTTTTACAGACTGCAGAAAATGAAAAAAAAAGTGTGAGGTTTCCCCCCAATTCATACCAGACCCTTTAGGTCTCGTAGGAATGTTAGGAGGGACCCCCCTTATAACACACACACAAAAAAAAGGTGAAAAAAAACGTGGGGTCAGCCCATTTTACATACTCAGCTGTCAAATGCTACATATTGCATCCATATATATATCAAATGCTTCTTGGGTTAAAGTACAGAGGCTATAGAGTAGTGGTTAAAGCACAGGCTTGCCATTGATAAGGTCCCAGGTTCAAGTCCAGGCCACGGTGTGTAAAGTTTTTTTTTTTTTTCTTTGCTTTTTAATTGGCATTCTCCTAACGTTCCTACCAGACCCTTAAGGTCTGGTAGGAATTTTAAAGGGGACCCCAGCCCCAAAAAACGGGGGGGGGGAAACGTGGGATCCCCCCTACAGTCCTACCAGACCCTTAAGGTCTGGTAGGAATTTTAAAGGGGACCCCAGCCCCAAAAAACGGGGGGGGGGAAACGTGGGATCCCCCCTACAGTCCTACCAGACCCTTAAGGTCTGGTAGGAATTTTAAAGGGGACCCCAGCCCCAAAAAATGGGGGGGGGGAAACGTGGGATCCCCCCTACAGTCCTACCAGACCCTGGATCCGAGCACAGGCCCGGCAGGGCAGGAAAGAGGGGGGGGGCGATCGAGCGCCCCCCCTCCCTGCGCCTTACCAGGCCACGTGCCCTCGGCATTGGGAGGGTTAAATCAAATAGTTAGTAAAAAGTCCAGACTTTTGACAAAATCCTTTAAGTAAAAAAAAAACAAACAGTCAATTTTTGACTATTCCTTTAATAAAAAACATTTTAAAAAATGGCTCCATCGATGTAATCCAGAGTCAGGATGCAGGACCCCCGCCGACCCGCAGAAATAAAAAAAGTCCTGCCGCAGACGACCACCCGAATCTGACGAAAACTAACCGCAAAAAAATGACATTCAGTTTGAAAGTCAACAGATGTAAAGTGTAAAGTTTTTTTTTTTTTTCATAAAACGAATTTCGGCAGCACTACCGCTAACGAATTTCGTCCGAAACTAATTTAATTTCGGACCCGAAAAACGAAACTAAACAAATTTTTTTTTTTCAAAACGAAACTAAACAAATTTTTTGCTGGTGCACATGTCTATTAACAACCATTGTTGGCTGTTTAAAATGACACTAAGAACAAGGATGTAGCAGCAGCCGTGTTTTTGAAATAACCACTTCTGTGGGTTGCCGTATATTTATGTATTGCGGTCCGGAAGTGGTCAAAATATTTCTCCTCATGAAGGAATTAAAAATTTGTATATATTTTAATCACATTTGTCAAAAAATAATTTGTATGTATAGGTAAAATATGTTTGGGGGATTTTTGTTTTGGATAGAGTGGAGAAGGGTTAAAGTAGTATAAAACTCTCAAACTTTCTTCAATTATGAATTCAGATCAAACACATATACTGTACATTGCCCAGCAAGTATACATGTTTGACCAAGCACTTACATTGAGCATATTTCTGAACAGCTGGTTCCAACTAGAGATGGGAAGGGCTGGAAAAAAACTGAAAAATTGGGGGGGGACATGTTTTTTTCCCATTTTTTCCCCCAGCTGTTTTTGGGGTTTTTTCCTGAAAAATTGAAATAAATAAAAAAAGAGTGTGGAATATGTTCTTTTACAATGATAAATAATATATCTTTGACATGGTATTCAAACTATATAACATGAAGACCTTAATGAAATACTTAAAGTCCTAAAATTATTGCACATTCACTCACCTGAAAACAAGCAAATCCTGAAATACAATTCAAGTAACACTCTACTTCTCAAACTCAAAAAGAAATATGCATTTCTGCCACTAGGGGCACTGCAGAGGAAAGGCTCCAGTTTAGTTAGCTTGTGGGCTCTATCTTGTACTTCCTACAGTTGGGTGATTGTTGGTATGATAGTAGAGGATAGTTTCTGTCCTCTCAGGCCTTAATTGACAGGTAAGAGGGTACATTTGTCTGACACATGAGTTTATCTTTATAACCTTAAAATGATTCCTAATAATATTCTACACAATCACAGTATGATGTTTACCTATAGTCCTCCCCTCAGTAAAATGGTGAGACCAACATCTAGAGTTTGGAAAAATTTCCACAGTGCAACCTCTGCTGAGAGCAAAGCTGCAATTTGCAAATAAGAAATACATTTTTTAAAAGCAAGTTTAGTTTATTTACTGAATAAGCTGTACTTTTATTTCAAGCATAATACTTTTATGTACACAGCATTTCACATTCCTAGTGTATTAAAATGATTTTCAATTTGTAAAAATACTCCACACTGATTTTTTTTTATTATTGTTCCGAAAATTTCTATTTTTTTCGGAAAAAAACATGGAATTTTTTTTTTCTTGGCTTGAAAATGTGCGTAAAGTTTGCATCTCTAGTTCCAATTCTCAAGAACAAAATCTCCAACAACTGTTTATCTGCTAGCTTGTAGAAGGGTTGAGGGAGGAGAAGGAGCCAGGGGGAGGGGTGTAGGTTGATTTGCCGTGTCTGTATGTTTGTAGAGGTGCACACAGCTTACTAGCACACACCAGTGTGGTTCCATAGAACTGCTTGGGAAAGGAAGCACCCTAAAACAGAATGCTTGGACCAGTGCTAAGGAGACCAGCAACATACACTGTAAGTGATTTAGGCCCCGTTCACACCAAGGCGACATAGTTTTGTGCTTCTGTACGTGCAGGTTGAGCGTGCGTTTTTTTGCACGTTTATGTGTGCGGGGCACATTTTTACGTGCGCACGTGAAAACGCGTGTTTTGACTGGCAGCTCAAGAAACATTGCGGTCAATGGACGAACACTCGTAAAATGTGCAACATATTTCTGCCGCATATTTCCTGGCATTTCCGTTGAAGTCTATGAGGAAAAACGAGCTTGAATCTGCCAAAAAACGTTCCGTACTTTTTTCTTCATTTGTTGTTTTGCTGATTAGGTGTACCTCCACAGATCCTGCGGAGCCCACCATAGACCCCACCACAGATCCTGCAGAGCCCATCTGAGACTTTCAGGTAGGCTGTGCAGAATCTAGGCTGGGCTCTGCAGGGTAGCTTTTAACAGCAGTGTGATCCACTTACCTACATCTCCCGCCCGCTGCTGCACCTGGCCTCCTTCACCGCCGGACCACTGGTGCTGCGTGCACCCAGCCTCCTCAGCCACCTGACTGGCACTTCCAGGTCCTGGCCCTCGTCTGTGCCTGACTGGTGCTTCGGGACCAGCTTCCTCTGTCGCCTGATGGGGATCCGGACCTGCCCTCTCCTGCTGCTCCTCCTCGCCTCCGCCTCCTTGTTCTGCTAGATTAGGCAGCCGAGGCTGCCGAATTCTGTGCAGCCCGGCTTGCATTACTGTTTTGGGGGAGGCCGGAAAGTGCCGCCTAAGGCAAAGGTCTTGTTTGCCTCACGGCAAATACTCCCCTAGCTTAGTGTACCAAGTCTTTAGTGTAACAGGTTTTATGTTTTGTACTCCAGGTAGAAATCTAGCTAAACACCAATCCTTATTACAAATGTGACCTCTCCTTTTACTATAGGCTTTTATTAGCTTGTTCATTGTACAAAAATAAGCATCATCATCTCTGTCTATTTACTGCCATTTTAGTGTTTAGTCAGCTCATAGTAAGATAAGGAAGCCAGCTAGATGACAATAAGGATGAGGGTGATTCTACTAATAAACTGAATTGCCTTGAAATTAACTAGTCAGGCAGTTTGAATCTATGAAAAATAAAACTTCACCTGGGTGGATAAACATGTTAAATCTTGCCCTGAACAGTAAACAATTTGTCAATGCTTCTCCTTAACAACTTCTTTGTCATGTGATTACTTTTTGTATTTATTTCTTTGGCCAATGCAGATACGAATGGTTCCAGACAGACGCTAATGTAACCGTAGTCATATACACCAAGCAAAAGGTATGATTTGTCTAAATTTGTCAAGGATATGTGTGAATTATGCTGTTTAATTTTATTCAGTCATTTATGGGTTAGTGATTTATATAAATTAAGGCTTGCCGAGCTGGAAGATGAATAAGTGATAAAGGGAACAATTAGATATAGTCACGTGCATGCTGTGTTGCCTGTAACATCAATTTAAAAATTCAGCCAAGCGCTGTATTGCAAAATTGGAAATCTTGTCACATAGACGCACACATACTAGTTCATAAAATCAAGGACTTATCTGAATTTTCAAACATAACCAATGTTTTACATTGCTATATGTTCATTGGATTTATTAAACAGTCAAGGAAATTAATGTAAGAAGTATGTGAACGTAAAGCCTATTTCCACCTTTGCGGAGGTACAGTATTTTTAATAAAACATATGCCAGCAATATACACTGAGTGTAAATGAAGCAGGCATGTTAACACAGAAACTTACTTTTTTGTTAGCTGTCCTCTTCATCTCCTCACGGCTCCTTTTTGAAATGGCTGCCTCTGTGCTCTACATGTAGTCTGTGTAAATTGCTGGCTGCTGTGCACAGTGGGAAAAACCCACTGTAGGGCATGGAAAACGACATTTCCCACAATGCTGTGCTTCCCTCGTGCACAAGTTTTTCTGTGGAAACTGAGCCCACCACCTGAGCTCTCTCTTCCCCCCATATTTCATTAATATTCATAGTGGCAACGCCCCACAAAACAGTGCAGAGTGACCCGGAGAGGAAGAGCTGGTGTGCCGTGATCTTGTTAGAATGACTCACAGGGAAGGGATCAGCTGTTTTACAATCCAACCTTGGTGTCGGACTAAGATTCTCTGGACAAATGGCATAAAATTTTAATTTTTTGGTAAACAGTGGTAACGCTGGAGAGAATGCACCATTACATACCAACACCAAATCACAGCTGTGAAGCAAGACGGATTAATTATGATGGTGTGGGTGTGCTTTTTTCCCCTCAAGACCTGATTGACTTGTAATTGTTGAAGGACCAATGAGCTCCTAATCTGCAGCTAAATGGCACACATTTGTTTGTAATATAAATCTTTAATTGGGCCATGCAACATGAAAATGATTTCAAACTCTGGAGCAAATCAACAACAAAGTTACAGAAGAAGATAGCATTCTGTATTTTAGAATGGCTGCAGGTCCTGACCAAATTCCTGGTGAAGTGTGGTGGCATGTCACTCAAGCAAGACCTCCCCAAAATCTGCATGAATATAAAAACGGGTCAGGTCCGGTTTTAGGTGCACTAAGGTGCATTAGCAGCCCATCTAAAATGAATGGGCTGCCGTAACCTAGCGCACATTAACATGTGATATAACACTAGTTAACATGCGTGTGATAATGCTCCACAGTGTGCTGCAAAAGTGTAGAGGTGGTCTTAGATGAAGATTATATTCCATTCTACGAGCTCGCAGTATTCCAAAAAAATCCTAAGACATTGCATACATGTTAATGTAAACTCTATTATCGTTATTCACTATTGTGTATTTTCTGCAGTTTTTTTACATTATATCTGGTCTCATATTTTTGTTAATTCTGGTGATTTATGGATGGATGATGAGGCATGGCATGCAGGGGATAGTGACAAGAGGAAACCACTTTAAAAAAAAAAGAAATCTTGTCTATGGGTCGCCAAAAACACCTGGTTGTACTGACACTTCTGGAATACTTTTATGGGTGGCAGTGAATCAGAACTACACATTTTTTGTGAACATGGACCCTATTATTTGTATAACCATAGAATTTCATCCATCCTTGGATCTATCACGCTTGGAATGAGAATGTAAAACTATCAGTCAGGGAGGTAAACATAGAGTGTTCTTACAAGCATATAAATATACACTCACTGGCCACTTTATTTGGTACACCTTGCTGGTACTGGGTTGGACCCCTTTTGTCTTCAGAACTGCTTCAATTCTTTGTGGCATTGATTCAACAAGGTGATGGAAACATTCCTTAGAGAGTCTGGTCCATACTGACATGATAGCATCACACAGTTGCTGCAGATTTGACGGCTGCACATCCATGATGCGAAGCTCCACCAGCCTGAACCGTTGATACAAGGCAGGATGGACCCATGTTTTCATGTTGTTTACATCAAATTCTGACCCGACCAGCCGAATGTCATAACAGAAATCGAGACTCATCAGGCCAGGCAACGTTTTTCCAATCTTCTATTTTACAATTTTGATGAGCCCTTGCAAACTGTAGCCTCAGTTTCCTGTTCTTAGCAAAATAACATTGCTTAACAGGTTTAAATCTGGATTTTTTTTTTAAATAGCTCTTTTGCTGTCAGTCCCTCGTGGCATGATGACACAGTGATAAGTGTGGACTAATTAACTTGACAAAGGACAACAATTATTCTGCCTGGGAGATGAGTTATCTCACTTGTCAGCAACCTTGCCAGCTTTGGAAATTGATGTAAAATTGACAATAGGATATATTTTGTCAATAAGGCGTGACAATGCTCATTCACTGTACTTTATGGAGGAGCAGCATTGTCACCCTAGGCCGCTTGCTCCTGATTTGGACTAGAGAAAACCAACAGGTTTTTTTTTCTTCTTCACAATATATTGTATATAATGTATTTTCAGTGGTATATTTAACAGACCAAAAGAGAGCTCATTATTAGGGTTTGCATACACTTTAAAACAGTATCTGTAATGTGGTTAAGATGTGTTAGCTTCATGTTTTAATAATTTTTACTTTCTTCCATAAATAGAATATAAAATTGAATCTCTTCACTGTTGACTATCAAGAGGACATCCTCAGAGTGGAAATAACTATCAAAGATTATTCCTATCTTCTGTTAATTGGTATGTTGTTGATTATTATTTCAGTGTATTATTACCTTTTTTTTAAATTATTAAATTAAAAAAAACCCTTAGGGCAGGGGTGGGCAACTCCCGCCCTCCAGCTGTGCTTTAACCATAAATCCCAACATCCCTCTGGGACTCATGCCTGTAACTGTCAGTCTTGCAATGCCTCATGGAATTTGCAGTTGCACAACAGCCAGAGGGCCGGAGTTGCCCACCCCTGCTTCAGAAGGACCACTAAAAGAGAAAAAAAAATGAAAACAAAATAAAAGCGGCTCAACACTCAAAATGAAGGGGCATTGGGGAAAGGGATTCCTGGTTTCCAAAACCCCCTCCCTTCCAGATGACTCTGTGGAAATTTTATAATTGAAGCACTCGTAGACAAGTTGATACTACTCTCTAATAGTACAGATTTCCTGATGGAAGCATTTACCTGATGTAAGCATAGTGCAGTTCAGAGCAAAGTCCCTACTGTTTTCTTGCAGTGATTCCAGAGGAAAGAAGCTTTCCTCCTGAACCTGTCAAGGTCAGCCAAAGTAATCCCTTCACAATAGTGTCTTATGGACTTTGCAGCTGTGCAAGGGTTGTGAAGTAACTGAGGTCTGATCAAACCCTGACACATTTCCCATTACGCTGTCTGTTTCTAAGCGCTAAATACCAGGCAGCCAGTATGGAAAATCTTTATCTCTGCAAAAGCTGACAATCTGATTACTGCCTTTCTTTTACTGTGTGACAAGCAATTTTGCCGGAGCCAGACATGACTTTAGATGTCTGTAACCTATTGCCAGAAATGTATTGTTTCAGAGAGAACATGACAGTTGAATAAAGGGTTTCTCTAATGCTAATAGTACCTTGAGAAAACCGCTGCTTGTTCACTACTTGTAAAACGGTTGTCTCAGCACGGCTATTTCTTTTGTATATTTACTGGCCCTTGTAGCTCCACAACAACTGGTGGCACCATAGGAACATGGAAGTTGCCATAATTGATCTGTGAGTTATCTGGGGCTATTCATTTATTCATGAGCAAATCAGCTGCCTAACACCTAATAGCCATTTGCTTGTGTGCAGGTGAGAGTCTTAATAGGCAGTGAAGCTCCCAGCCAATATATTTCTACCTGGCAGGTGTTTTAGAATAGCAGACTCATTTTTCTTTTTATGAGCTGCATTTAAATCTTCAGAAGTTTATTGAACCTCATCTGGCCTAAACAGTTTCTAAAATGGCAACAGTGCTGACTTTGTCTTCAAATCAATCCCTGTGTCCCTGTGGATCCCCTTCACCCACTTGGATTTTATGTCCAGGCAGTACATAAGACCAGAACTTTGAGATTGAGCCGCATGCCATCATCCAGCTGTAAAATGCCAGATGACTCTACTAAGGTGTTGGCATAGCTCACGGCAGATTGACAGATTAGGATTGAGCACTGAGAGGGGTGCAGGGTGTAAACCTCATTTAGGCATAAATAGGCTGCATGAACATAAAAAAGAAACACCGGGCGCCTTTCCTGGTGCAAATAATCCTTTTATTTGTTTAGAAAGATTAAAAGTGATAAATGGTACTCGCAAAAGAGGTGGATAAAAAGCGTGTTGGACATAAATCTCAGGATACATGCAGATTCCTAGCAGTCAGAGAAAACAATCCAAATATGCTGCTAGACCAGCAGAAACAAGCTGACTCAGCTGAACGCGTTTTCGGGGAGTTTCCCCTTCCTCAGAGCGTATGAACAGTTTGGGTCTAGGAATTTTGGTGTCCACGGGCACCACAAGGTGCTGCACTTCAGCATAGCTAATACGGTAGAATTTTTCAGGCCAAGTTAGGTGCACTCTAAAGTAAGTAAACCCTAATAATGAACTTGTCTTATACACTAATGCCTTTTGGCCTGTTAAATATTCCATTCATAGTGTTTTGTTAAATTCATGAAGTGCAAAAAGAAAAAGAAAAAGAAAGCTTGCGAGCTGCCAACTTTGTGTGTTCTCTGCTTCTTGTGCTGACCTTTATCAATTAACATTGATCCAAGCTATCTGTGTTGACTATACAATGCCTCCCTCTATGTTATAGTGATGAGGAGGGGGTGTTCTGTAGTCCTGACCTAGAGTGGCAATGCAGCTCCTCCATAGTTGCAGTATGTTGATCGAGCATTGTTATCCTAGGACAGGAAGTATGATACTAGCATGGTCACCAGGTAATAATAAAAGAAAAAACGTATACAACCACCATGTGAGGACTGGTAAGATGCATTATAATATAATTTTGTTTTTGGGTTTAGATTAAAGCCTAATCCCTACCAAAATACCAAATGCAGTTTTGGACAAAATGTGGAACAGCTAGAACCACTGTCAGGCTTTTATTGCCGTCTGGGCAGACTTTCTCTCGCTTCGTTTTGCTGGGTGTCACCGATAACTTCTGCGTGGTTCTTAATGGCAGAAAGAGACAAAGTAGTTTTAGTCTGCCCCTTTTTTTTTTCTTGTATTTTGGATCTATGTTGGTCCCAAGCATGTTTAAAATCCTCTTACTGTTGACTGACTCACTACCTCTGCTAAAAATGTCTGTCCCAAGCATCAAATACACTTTTGGTAAAATAACACTTTATAGGTCAGTTGTTAAAGTGCAACTGAAGCCAAAACCTTTTATTACGGTCTGTGTTTTCATTACTGTCTGTCTCCATGAGACGGAAATTCACACCCTCTATTTGTCCTTGCGACTGTAAAAGTGAAAGAAAATCCCAAATGTACCCAACAGGTCATCAGGATCGGAATAGGTGGAAAATCCTCTAATGGAGACACTAGTTTTGATGACCGTGCTATCCACCAGGATTTTCCTCTCTTTGGAGGCATTTCCTCTCACTTTCAATTGTGGCTGTCGGACAGGAAGTGCAGGGAAATCTCCCCAATGGGACACAGATGGTAAATAAAAACTGAAAGGGATTATAACCCTCCCTTACTTTATCCAAAACTAAAAAAAAAAGGTTTGAGCTTCAGCTCTACTTTAACTTCCCTCCTGCTAGTTTGAGGCTGTGTTTTTCAAACACTAAACTATACTCTATAAATGTCTTTTTTTTTTTTTTTTTTAGGGCAGCGGTATAGCTGCAGTAAGGTTGTTGTTTTACTAATAGGCCTCTTAAAAAATAAGAATACATTTTAAATTAATCTCTGCATGGCTATACCCCCAAATATAGGTCTCAGAGCAGTGGCCAGCCAGGAGTCGGGACCATAGACTATGCCGGGGACCATAGACTATGCCGAACTCTGATACTTTTCCAAGTCACCATAAGCCCCCATCTTACTGCAGGCTTGCCAAGTAGACAGCTTCTCCTTTAGGGCTTGTGGAGAATAGACAGCATCTGTGCAGTATGGTGTGGCCTGTTGTATTATTAAGTAGGATGTGAGCTCTGCCTGCCTTCCCCTGCAGTTGCCAGACCACGTTGCCTGCTGATGAGGCCTGTACTTTAGGCTACAGATAGGAGAGCGTGGAGTGGGCTTTAAGTTTTTTATTTTATTTTATTACCAGGAGGCTGTCTTTACAGCAGATCTTTGTTTTGTTGTGTTTTCTTTAATCTCTCAATTCCTCGTCACCTCGTCTGTCACCCTGCCCTCTGCAAGGGTGCTGCCAGCAGCTAAGTGGCTGTTGTGGAGGCACCAATGCGTGCACGTTCCCAGCCATGCCTGCAGTAGCTGAGTGTGTCCATAGACACACACAGCCCTGTGGCAGGCCACCACCCCGCCTCTCCGCCTATCAGTTTGACTGACAGCAGAAGGAGCCTATGGCTCCTCTGCCCTCAGTATCCTCCCCGCAACCAGGACGTTCAGGCCAGAGGATCGCTTCGGGGACCGGCGGCGGTAACAATCAGTGTTGACAGGTAAGTGTGGGAACGGGGGGAGTCAAAAAGATACTGTGCGTTTTTTTTCCATTTTTTTGGGGGGGGGGATTCTTTATTTTCCAATTTTCATCAAATACACAAATAACAATAAACAAAAACTTGATAAATACAATGCTTACTATTCAGTATATTTATAAAACACAATAATAATAACAATAAATAATAATACATTAATAAAAACATAATTACACACAAATAGCGAAAGAAAAAGATAAAGAAAAAAAAAAAAAGGAAAACCCATGAATTAAATAAGAAACCAATGAGCCTCCTTATGATCATTAAATTAACTAGCCAATATCCCACAATATTTACCTAAGTAGGAGTCAAACAAAACAAAAAAAATACATTCCTACCCTTTCCCTATCACGTAGTAACATCTGCATGTTTCCCTTTTGCATATATATTGAATATTCTGGGGAGGATTGAAAATCAATCCATTGTAACCACATCTATTGAAAACACTCCTCCCTACCATGTAAAGATAAAGTCAGATCTTCCATTAACTTTATATTGTTTACTCTTGACAGCCACTGTGCTGGGGAATAGCACTCTTCCAGAGAGCCGATATACATCCCCTTGCGGCATTAAGAAGAGAATGTTTATACTTTTTCAAAGCTAAAGCATTTAAATGAAATGAAAAAGATAGGCCTCAGGTCCATCAAAATCTCAAGAGTCCCAAAATGATCGTATTAATGGAAATTCACAAAAAAGTATGCAGTAATGTACCTTCATGTTGCCCACACCTCCAACATCTGGCGGAGATATTTGGAAACATCGACTGTAGGCGAACCGTTGTCATATACCATCTTAGAAAGAACTTATAACCTGATTCTTGTGTTTTGTTTTTTTTTAAATAGTTTGATATAGTTGCATTGTGCACCAAGTATAGTCAAATTCAAGTATTGCGCAAGAGACAGAGTATGTCTAAGAGGAGTCTATGAAACACACAATTTTTTCGAAGGAAGTAAGTTCCTTCGAAGATAAGAGGCTCATTCAGTCAGTTGCCCTTCATTCAAGTAAGCCCCACAACTAGTTCACAGACGATCTTTTGAAAGAAACCGACCTTGATCAGCAAATTGAAAAGCCCTAAAAAGATTGGCCTCAATTATCCTAGTAAAAGCACAA